TCCCTCCCTCCCACCTATCTACCTATCCACCCACCCACCTATCCATCCATCCATCCACCCACACACCACCCATCCATTCATCCACCCCCACACCTATCTACCTACTACCCATCCATCCATCCATCCACCCACCTATCTATTATCTATCCATTCATCTTTTTTTTTCTTCCATTCAATCGTGTCCAATTTTCAAAAACTGCCTGGACAAGTCCTTGCAATTTTCTTGGCAAGATTTTTCAGAAGTGGTTTGTCTCTGCCTTCTTTTTCCTAGTAACTGCCCCAAGGTCATCCAGCTGGCTTTGTGCCAAAGTTGGGACTAGAACTCACATTTCCAGTCACCTCCTGGTGAAATGGGCACCAAACAAATTTAATATAAATTTTCCTGGTTTCCAGACTGATGCCACAACCACTAAACCCAACTGCCTATCCGTATTGCATACAGAGTGATCTATGTTGTAAATATCCCATCTATATTCTAAGCATATGGGAACATGGAACCTGCCTGGGTCTGGATAAGTTTTAACCCCACCGTGTACATTGTTAGTACTGCAATAACAACCAACAGTGACTTTTCTCTCCATAGGATACTTAGCTAAGCACAATTCCAACAATTATGGTTCACCAAGACTCACAGAGCCATCTGGCTTTGATCCTCACCAATTGTCAAATCATGAACAGCCATAAACCGTTTATCTGTGAACTGCAGCAAGAGGCATGATTTCCCGACGCCTTAAAAAAAAAAAAGATATAATATTATTGTAAATTCCTACGCTGAAAAAAAAAGAGAGATTTGTGTCTAACTTAAGCATTCTATAGAACAATTTACTGATGCATTTATACCCTTTATCAGCGCAATCAATACACGTTTATCTTTATAATCCCTCGTTGTTTAATAAACCCTATTTCTCTGAGATACAGAAGCGGATCCTAAATGATAGAATAATTTAAAAAGTGCTTTAGGAAGTTCTCAATTTACTGAAGGCAGAATCTGAACGTCTGTTTTTTTTGCTTTCTTTCTGGATGTTAGGTAATCCAGACCCTTTTTTTTGTAAAACCTTCTAATCTCATAAAGAGACCCTCTTGGAGGGAGATAATCGGCCCATAGATGTGAAAAATAAATAAATAAAGTCAGTGTGCAAACAACAAATAACCGGCGTTTTTAAAACTGGAAGTCAAATTAGCAACAGGAAAAAAGCAACTCTGATCAACCCAATTTGCCTACAGTGCAGGCAGTCCTCGACTTACAGCAGTTCACTTAGTGAGCGTTCAAAGTTACAACGGCACGGAAAAAAGGGACTTATGACCATTTTTCACACTTACGACCATTTTCGGCATCCCCATGGCATTTACGACGGTCAAAGCGTCCCGGGGTTAGGTGATCGCCTTTGGCGACCTTCTGACAAGCAAAATCAATGGAGAAACCAGGTTCACTTAACTAATTTAACAACTGTGGGGATCCACTTAACAAACCTGGGCAAGGAAACTTGTAAAAGGGGGGCAAAACTCACTTGACCAATGTCTCACTTAGCAACCTAAATTCTGGGCTCATGAGTCGAAGACTATCTGTGCTTCCTTTGGAGAAGTAAATGGACCCCCACCCAAAGAATTTTCATGAGCCTTCATCTTGCTTTTCCACCCCATAATATTCTCAGGACAAAAGATAGGGAGAAATGTTTCTTTTTTTCAAACTTGGGAATGTTTAAGACAGGGGTAGGCAACCTTGGCTCTTTTATGACTCGTGGACTTCAACTCCCAGAATTCCTGAGCCAGCCATGCTGAGGAGAAAGGGAGAGGTTTCCATGCTGAGCCATGCTGGCTCAGGAATTCTGGGAGTTGAAGTCCACGAGTCATAAAAGAGCCAAGGT